TGCCCGCTGGTCAACCCGCGTTTTGGGTATAGGTGCCTGCTATGACCGATCCCCGCTGGTGATCCCCATATGCTTTCCGCCACGGTTAAGTTCCCCCCCTGGGCGGACCCGTGCTTTCCCTATCTGCTAACCACCTTCTTATGCGCACTCCCCCTTTTCAGGGTTAGTCCATATGTAATTCCATTGTTCCCCCTATTGGGTGCGGATGGTCTCCGCAGCGTCCTCCCTACTGGGATGGCACGCTTCCCAACGTACTGTCGTGTATTCCTAGAATTATCTAGACGCTAGCGACTCCCAAAAAAGATACCTATTCCGTAAAACTTCTTTTGAAGTAGGATAAGTTAGGGCCAAGGGCACGTTGGAGGACCACGCCTCTCGTGATCTGGGTGCGTCACGCTTGCCTGACCGCTCTCTCATGGTGGGTGTTGGTAAGGTGCAGTCATTATGGCGCTTTCAATGGGCTCCCAATGCGTGGATTTTACAATCAAATCCACTTATAGTGCTGGAGTTCCCCCCGAAGGGGAACGTTCGAGGTTACTAAAGTAACCCTTCGTTCCCCGAGGAGGGGAACGGAAGCACTATACTCCGTCGCCATAATGACTGTCCCTTAGCTGTTAAAAGTCTCTTCAGCTTAAAAAGGATAGCGTCTGCTGGCGCCAGGTGAGCTTATATACTCAGTTGATTGCTTATGCCGCTCACCTGCGCAGGCTTGCGCTGCCAATTCATTCTTAATTGGCCCGTTCAATACTCTTTCAGACGAGTAGCTTCTGAACCGAACCTCCCAATGCGTGGATTTTACAATCAAATCCACTTATAGTGCTTCCGTTCCCCTCCTCGGGGAACGAAGGGTTACTTTAGTAACCTCGAACGATCTGCAATATCGTTTTCATATTCAGGCACAGATTATTATAATGTTTGTAACTTTAAGAAATTGTAATTGTATTAATGTATAAGTTTGATGAAGACTATACTGGATAATTTTCAGTGGTGGAAAAGGTACTGAAAAATCATTCTCAAGTAGAAATACCATTACTTGCCCAAAAATGTAGTGCAAGTAGAGTAAAAATATTTGTTGTAAAAATTACTCAAAGTATGACTAAAAAGTAGCCCTTTTAAACATACTCAAGAGTAGCGAGTAGTAAGTAATACGCTTTGAACGTGTGTGAAAACGTAACATTCTGTAGTCATTTACTTATTGTTTAAGTCCATTTGACGATTCCAGTCATCAAACAGTAAACATCCTCCATCTTCCCATCAGTGTCATTCTTTCTAAACCAGAGGTGCCCAAAGTAGGGCCAGTGAGCCAAAGATGGCCCATGGTAACCTTTGGTTTGGTCTGCCATCCTATCTGAAAAGAGAGTGAAAATAATAGGTAGTTGATTGGGGCGAATGCCTTTGACAGAGATCGTCATTTTCAATTTAACATAACCTTTTGCTCTTTGTTTAATTGAGGAGCTTTAATTTAAATTGTACCTTTGCTGGACTGTATTTAATAAAGCTTGTGATTGGTTTATTATATTTTATGCAGATGCACTTCCCTAAAAAAGTCCTCCCAATCCATCTAAAATTATGAATTCTTACCATATTGAGCCATTTATTTCATCTGGTAGAATTATACTCAATATCACAGTATGTATTGCAGAAAAAAATTGCAATGTAATTTTTTTACAACATCGTATAGTCCTACTATGTGTATAATTATAAAAATTAAGTTAAATCAACTTAACAGTTTCAAGATACAATGGGTTTGCTAAATTCTTTTTGCTTTTTAATTTCTCAGTTTGTTACTTTTAAGGCAATCGGTAAAGTAAATAGTCACTTTTTACAGTTTTTACCTGCCCTTTTTATGTGCACATGATGTCAGTGTGTGAATTATACATCGACGATCGAGGGGCGGTCAACTTTTTTCAGTAGTAGTTTGCTAATACATGCTTCCGTGAATCAAATTTATCAATGTATTTAAATTACATCTAATTTATTAATAAAATGTGAATGTTTTCAGTGTTTTGAGGGATTTTTAGACTATTTTAGAAGTTTCTTTAGGTCAAACTATACAACTTATGTGTCTATTTTTTTCTTTTGTTAGGCTACATGCAGATATAAACTTCTATTTCACAAGAAACATGTTTTGTAGATACTGAAGATGTCTATCAGTGCTCTAGAGCTGCTAGTTTCAGACTGTTAAATTATATTTTTCCTACCATTGATTAGAGCATTATGCAGTCACAATGGTTTAAACCGTTATGGGGGGATCAAATGTTTATTAATTTTATACATTTTTAATTATTAATATTTAAGATATAGATCAGAGATCAGAGAAAGTCTTTTATTACCATTAAAGGGCTGACCCCCCCATGCATCTTGTTTTAATGTCCTTCAGGGGGGATCAAGCTTTAATTACGGGGTTCAAACCCCCCCAAACCCTCCTATAATTCGCACCCTGCATGAAATAACCAGGTGTAAACAGCCCTGTACCCACATTAAGACTTTCTATTATTCACACATTTTCCCTTCAATTGTAGGTCTGAGGAAGACACGTAAACAGCATATCACTCAGAGGATTGAAACCTCAGTAATTGACAGTGCCTTGCATGTGTGTCAGGAGTATCTGAACAGCCTGGAGCATTGCGATATAGACAACAATTTGGAAACAAACTCAACCATCTCAGAGCAACAGTGGAAGGTGTTTCTTCAGAATTATTATTTAGTTGTTCAGTAAGTATGTTTTTTGTATATATTTGTGTACTTAAATGTACTACATAAACACGCTGTTCAAAATTACAAAATGAAAATAAAACTAAACTAAGAACAATGAAACTCAGCTGAACAAATGACAATTTTATGTCGAAGGAAAATGATAGAATGTTTGGTTACATTTATATCTCAACTAGGCATGGGCTGGTATAAGATTCTGATCTATGATAACCTTGAATAAAAATATCATGGTTTTTTGGTATTGTGATTGCTGCTTTAAAATATGTTCTTTTTAAATTTCTAAGTAAAAAAGAGCAACATTTTCCCTCCTTGAACACATTATATTTTATTTTAAGAACATTTATAATGTTTTGGAACAGTAAACATGTCAGGCTAAATAATTCAAATGAATCATTGAATTCTGCTGTCTTAATTAATCTTAAAAACAGATTTCTTTACAGCTTTAGATATCTTTTATTTTCTGCGGGTATAAATAAGCCCAGGTTTCTCTGTGGTTAGCACTGTCGCCTCACAGCAAGAAGGTCGCTTGTTTGGGTCCAGGCCAGGTCAGTTGGAATTTCAATGTGGAGTTCGCATATTCTCCCTGTGTTCGTTTGGGTTTCCTCCGGGTACTCTGGTTTCCCCCACAGTCCAAAGGCATGCGCTGTAGGTGAATTGAATAAACTAAAATGGTCGTAGTGTATGTGTGTGAATGTGAGAATGTATGGGTGTTTCCCAGTACTGGGTTGCAGCTTTAAGGGCATCCGCTGTGTAAAAAAATATATACTGGATAAGTTGACGGTTCATTCCACTGTGGCAACCCCTGGTGAATAGAGGGACTAAGCCGAAGGAAAATGAATGAGCTCTATAGTTGGTCTATAGGATGTTGCTGTATAAATTATTTGTTTTAGATGTTTGCTGAATTGTAGGTTGACCAGTAGCTCTTAATGTGGATGCTCCTTTTCTGCTGGAGATACTGTTATCCTAAATGAATAAAATTAAATAGTCTTTGACAACAACAACAACAAAAAAAAAATATTTACAAAAACAAAACCTTGAAACCGGTAATTGTCCAATGCCTAATCTCAACAGCAGTGTTCATCTAGTCTTTATAGAAAAATTATAATGATTAACATGGTTATAAAATGCATGTCCATGGCTAACAACACAAGGTGCAGTATGTTTGATACCCAGTGGTTGAGCTAGGTATTGCACTCCAGGATCAAAACAAATGCAAGCCCATGTTGCCAGATTGAGGACAGGAGCAAGTGATTTAAACCATGTTCTAAATAAAAGCAACGGCACCCGATAGAAGGAATATTTTCCATATTAAATGTATTTGCCTTGAATTGATATATTAGAAACAGCTTTTATTTCTCACAGGTGAACAGCAGAAAAATGACAATGATCACCTTAGGTACACCTCATGTGCTTTATTCAAAGTTAAATGCTAACAATGTGAGGTTGAATGCCTTTTTGTTAGATATGTATTGCCATATACTGAAAGCAGCAGCAGAATGTTCACCTCAGATCTTGAAAATAAAATAAACCGTTTGAAATTAATCTTTAGAAATAAACACAAATGATCAGCATGTACATTAAATAATGTTAAAGAGAGTTAATATTAATGAAATATATTATAAACCTTACAATTTCATGAGTGAGTCCATACTCTGTGCTTCTGGATGGCTGTATTTAAATTTCTGTCCTGTTTCGTCTGGTGCAAACAGCCAAATAGCTTAACACTGCGTAGCTATCTCATCACAAAGCGCGTTGTTAAGTTTGTAATATTTATATTATTTGCTAATTATTAACCTCATGTGGAACTCTGAATCTGCATCTCATTTGGGAGTCTGCTACTGTCCACCAGAGGTCGCATTTCGGTCACGGACGCATGCATTCAGACCCTTTCTGAATGAATGAATGAATGAAATGGTTTTCCACCAAGGCAACCCAGGGTGCTGAAATATAATTGGCTAAACTGGTGTTGGGCAGGTTAAAATGACCAAAACAAATACAGTGTTCTGGCATGAAAAACACATTTTCAAAGCAGAAAATCTGACTTCAGCATTGTTTTTCAGATAAACAAGTATGTTCACTTGGCATGTTTTTTTTTTTTTAATATCTACTAACATATTATGTTTTTTATGCTTTAAAAGTGTCAAAAACTTACATACAGCATCTTCAAAACCCATTTATAGGCAACTATTAAAATAGCAAGAAAACTTTGTCAATTTAGAGAAAGCTTTCATGTTGTTATTTTTTTCCTTTCCAGTGAAGGAATAAATATAGAGGGCTGTGACTATTACGTGGAGCGTTGTAAATGCATGCTGGAGCAGATGCGTCAAGTTTGCCCTCAGATGGAGAATGATGGGATCTGCAACATCTGGATCATTAAACCAGGCGCCAAGTCACGAGGCAGAGGTGCGTTTTTCTGGAGACTTAGTTCTGTAAAAAACTTGCCAAAAATATTTGATTCAGTCTTACCTTGACTGTTGTAGGTATAATGTGCATGAACAAGCTGGATGACATGTTAGGTTTAGTGGATGGAGACCACTGCATCATGAAGGACAGTAAATGGGTGGTGCAGAAGTATATAGAGCGGCCTCTCCTTGTGCACGACACTAAGTTTGATGTACGGCAGTGGTTTCTGGTCACAGACTGGAACCCGCTCACTGTGTGGTTCTACCGTGAGTGCTACCTCCGTTTTTCTACGCAACCTTACTCCACTCATACGCTGGACAGGTAAGAAAGCAAATGCACATCATTAAAGGAATAGTTAAAGGAAAACCAATGATCAATAATTGATTATAACAATGGTTAATGATAAATAACAATAATTAAAGGAATACAATGATTTTCAATTCATTGGTAACACCTTCTTTTTTTTTACAAACTTAAATGACATTAGTAAATGTTTTAGCAGTAATTCACTATAAGTTCCATTGAAATTTTTAATTTGGTAATGGATTTTGTAAGCACATTGTGAATGTCAGTGTTGTTTCTGGATCTAACTGACTTTGATTATAAGGAAAAAAACTGCTCAACCATTCTTCAAAATATGTCACACAATATGAAATGATATACAATATAGGCTTGAGGGACTAATATGAAGGAACATGAATGAATGAATGAATGAATGAATGAATGAATGAATGAAAAAATGAATGAATAAACAAATGAATGAATGAATGAATGTATGAAGATAGACTTGAATGTAGAATATAAACTTGATATAGACTTGTATATAGAATAAAATAGGCTTGAGATATATATCAAATCTTATATCAAATGATGAAAGAACTTCAGGGGCAATATTCACAAAACATTTTAAAGAAAAAAAAAATGTTAGGACTCCTATGCATTTTTGTTCTAAAGGTATTTTACAAAGCCTTTCACCACTAAACGGCATTTAGCCTCCTTTTTTACAAAAAAAAAGTCTTTTAGCACTAATCTACTAAATCAGTAAAATCTTAGGAGTAGAGAAGAGGACTCAGAGGTAACTAAGACCAAACCAAAAACTTGCCTTAAATATCTGTTGCCGAGCTTTTATTACCTATCACCTTAATTGTAGAGGTATTTTCTCCCATACTATACAAAATATGTTTTCAAATATATTTTAAAATGCACAAAAATATTTTTTCAAAATGACATTTACCCAATTATATGTTTTATTAATACATATTTGGCCATTTTTTATTTTGAAACTTTAATTAAATATGCCAATTTAAAGATTCCGCAAAGTGCTTTGAAATGTGAATCTTTTATCGGATGACTAAATCTCAACTGAAACACAAAAAGAGGGCAGGACATAAAGTACAAAGCTTCCCTTTTAAAAAACAGCCAATGGCATTTAGTTTTTTCCACAGCTCTGCCATCAAGAGTAGTTGAGCTCAAGCTTATGAAATGAAAAAACAAATGAGAAGCATCTTTAAGGGGGTGGGGCATGTCAGGAACTAGAGAGCCTTTGATTGGTTAAGTTTTTATGAGGTACTGAAGTATTTAGGCGGAAGTGACAAACAGCAAGCTTAAGCTTCAATTCAATTCATCTTTATTTCTATAGCGCTTTTACAATGTAGATTGTGTCAAAGCAGCTTAACATAGAAGTTAGTTTAATATAGTAACTTTAAACTGTGTCAGTCAGAGTTTAAGTTCAGTTTAGTTCAGTTCAGTGTGGGTTAATTTTTACTGCTGAGAGTCCAAACACTAAGGAGCTAATCCATCGATGCGCAGCTCCACAAGTCAACAAGTAAACCATGCAAGCCAGTGGCGATGTTTATATTAGTTTTATATCTTTTAATTGCACATTTTGTCACTGTTTTGTAGCACACTAGAATATAGATATCCTTAAAACTAACATACTGATACTATTGTCTAAAAAACTTTATTTTATTTTCACTGGACCTTTATTGTTACACTCTGCAGAGTTTCCACGAATAATTCCCATCAGCCAATCACTGCGTGCATAGTTACAAGTATGATGACATTTATTTTTATATGGTTTAAACAACAGATACATGACAATAGAACAAACGATATACTGCCAGGGTGATAGAATGTAAATAATAATAACAGAAAAAATTAAAATAAAGAAACAAACCCACAAAAAACAATAGTATAAATAATGAAATTCTTACTATTACAAGCAAGCAGGATCTTTACATTAATGCATTCATTCATTTATTCATTTTCTTTTCGGCTTAATCCCTTTATTCATCTGGGGTCGCCACAGCGAATGGACCGCCAACTTATCCAGCATATGTTTTACGCAGCGGATGCCCTTCCAGCTGCAACCCATCACTGGGAAACACCCATACACTCTTAGTCACACGCATACCCTACAGACATTTTTAGCTTTACCCAGTTCACCTATACTGCATGTATTTGGACTGTGGGGGAAACTTGAGCACCCGGAGGAAACCCACACGAACTACATTAATCCAAAAATTTGGAAATCAAGCACAAATGGACAGTTTTATTGGCCTTTCTATTAGTCCTATGTTGAATAGTACAAAATAATTTTTTCCGTTCCTTATAAAACAAAGTAAAACAGTTTTGTTTGTTTTTTTGTTGGAAAATTTACACATGAATATGAAACTTAATCTTACAAAATAATTAGATTAATAACAAAAACTTCATTATTCAGATAATCACAATTAAAACACCCAAGAATGCTGCACATTGATGGATTTGCTCTTCAGTGTTTGGACTTTCAGCAGTGAAAATTAAACCACACTGAACTAAACTGAACTTAAACTCTGAAAACTGGACCGACACCGTTTTAATTTACTATAATCTTCTTTGTTAAGCTGCTTTGACACAATCTACATTGTAAAAGCGCTACAAAAATAAAGATGAATTACATTGAATTGATGACATTATCCATAGCATCAAGGTCAACATGAGGTCACACTCACTTCTCTTATTCTTAGTAAAAGTTTGTCTCAGCAGCTTTGTGAATAGGTTTTAGGAGACCCTTTTACTGTGAACTCATTGTGGGAAGATAAAATGTTTCGTGAATACAGAACTGTTCCTTTAAGAGGGATTATTTATTAATAAAGAAATGTATTTCTTTCTATATTCTTTTCAATCTCAGCTCTGTACATCTTTGCAACAACTCCATCCAGAAGCATTATCAGCCAAGCCCAGATCGCAGTCCTTCTCTTCCCGCCGAGTGCATGTGGTCATGTTCGCAGTTCCGCTCCTGGTTGGCTGCTTCAGGCCGTGCTGCTCTGTGGAAAACGGTTGTTGTTCCAGGCATGCAAAAGGCTGTCATTCAAACCCTCTTGACCGCACAGGACAGCGTGGAGCCTCGTAAAGCCAGTTTCGAGCTCTATGGAGCAGACTTCATGCTGGGACGAGATTTGAGACCTTGGCTGTTGGAGATCAATGCCAGTCCTACCATGGCACCCTCTACAGGAGTCACCGCTCGACTCTGCCCTGCTGTACAGGAAGACACTCTGCGGGTGGTGCTGGATCGACGCTCTGAGCGCAATACTGATACCGGTGGCTTCCAGCTCATATACAAACAGGTACACACTGTGTGAATCTCAGAAAACTTGGCAAGAAATTCCCACATCACCAAACTAGATGCATATCTCGCTCTTCTCTCTTGAATTGATGCTGAGCTTTGTTTTTTAGCAGCAGATGGCGCTCTAGGCTAGTTTTTAACAAATGCTTAAGAGGAAGAGCACTTGTGCATTCTCAGTTAGCTTTTATGTCAGGAGATTCACAAAAACTGTTTACTAGGAGCACTCTTAACTGGCTTAAAGCTTTTGTAAATTTACTTATGATTGTTTTAGGTTTAAGTGGTATTTGTAAGGAATTTGATGCATGCAAACATGAAACACAACACCATCGGCTGTTAAAAAAGCTCAGAATCGATTCAAGATAAAAAATGGTGCATTGAAAATCTCAGAATCAATGTAGAATACATTAGATTTGTGATACACACATACATAGAAACTAAACTATTTAGTTTGCATAGAAATTTAAATTGATATATCAAAAATAATAATAGTTTACTTTGTTACTTTAATTTTGCATTTTAATGAGACCTGAATATTTATTTTTGTATATACACTCATTGGCCACTTTATTAGGTACACCTTACTACTGTAGTGCCGTGTACTGTGTTGATTAATATTAATGGGCCCAAAGTGTGTCAGGAAAATATGCCCCACACCATTACAGCACCACGGCCAGCTTGAACCTTTGATACAAGGCAGGATGGATCCATGCTTTCATGTTGTTGACGCCAAATTCTGACCCTACCATCCAGGCCCGGACTGGCTAATTGGGAGGACCGGGAGAATTCTCGGTGGGCCAGTCTGTTTTTGGCCGAGAGGGCCGGTGTCCCTAGCTGCTTGCACTCTCAGCAGTCACACTTTTTTATTAATTAATTATTTTTTTGACCATAGCCTCACTCTTTTTATTCAGTATTTTGCCGCAGCTCCACACTTTTTATTTTCTCGCAGCCCCCTGAGCAAAATACAGCCTGCAGGTTAATGATGACGTAACTGTCATTCGACTTCAAACAGCTGCACCTTAGTGAATATAAGAACTTGAATAATTAATATTATTGAATATTACATCTGCTCAATGAAAATCGGATGATTCACAACATTAATAAATCTGACATAACTTGATTAGAAATCCTAAAAGGGGAGAAAAAGATTAAGCCATCAATAGAAAGTAATACTGTGGTTATTGTTTTTATTCCAAACGCAACTAAATAACAGCACCATTGTGGTCCAGTAGTCAGCACGTTGCGTTACGACACTGCCGACCGGAGTTTGATCCTCTCCTGAGTAATTATTTATTTTATTTTTATTTTTAGTGTTAAGACATATAAGTGTACATATAAATTTTTTTTGAGTGACCACCGTTTAAGGACTGGATATCTATAAAAATTTTTGCACAGAATATATATTCAGATATTGCAGGAAAGGACATTGTGATGTTTTAAAGAATAGTGTTGGAAATTTAGCTACTCTTTAATGTTCTAATAGTTATGAAAACATTTGAAGTTCTAAAGCAGCTGTCCTTGAAAAAGACGTGATAGTGTCATCAGAAACTGAATTGGAAATGACCTTATTTTAATATAGCCAGTCATGAACTGATGGGCCGGTCTAAGGCTTGAAACTCCAGGACTGAAAAGGAGTCCCACTCCGGCCCTGCTACCATCCGAATGTCGTAGCAGAAATCGAGACTCATCAGACCAATTTTGGGGAGCCTGTGCGAGTTGTAACCTCAGTTTCCTGTTCTTAGCTGACAAGAGTGGCACCCGGTGTGGTCTGGTGTTGTGTGTTCAAAGATGCTCTTCTGCATACCTCGGTTGTAACGAGCGGTTATTTGAGTTACTGTTGCCTTTCTATCAGCTCAAACCAGTCTGGCCATTTTCCTCTGACCTCTGGCATCAACAATGCACAGAACTACCACTCACTGGATATTTTCTGTTTTGGACCATTCTATGTAAACCCTAGAGATGGTTGTGCATGAAAATTCCAGTAGATCAGTAGTTTCTGAAATACTCAGACCAGCCCATCTGGCACCAACAACCATGCCACATTCAAAGTCACTTAAATCACCTTACTTCCCCATTCTGATGCTCGGTTTGAACTGCAGCAGATCGTCTTGACCATGTCTACATGCCTAAATTGAGTTGCTGCCATGAGATTGGCTGATTAGATATTTGCGTTAATAAGCAGTTGGACAGGTGTACCTAATAAAGTAGATGGTAAGTGTATCTATACCTTATCAAACCCAAACAAATGAATAATCTAAAGTAAAAATGAACTGCTCAGTTGGTTTGATGTTTGTTTCTTCAGGCAGCAGTAGATGTTCCTCAGTATGTGGGAGTGAATCTTCTCATCGAGGGCACTTCAATCAGACGTCCTCGTGCTCCTGTCCACAAGTCTCTCATTCAGTCTCACCCAGAGCCGCTATCAAAATCCACCAATCACAAGTCCTCGCTCTTAAGCAGCCCCTGCACTTCTGGCAAGGAAAATCAGTCAGAAGAGATGAAAAGGGCCTGTCCTAACCTTCCCAACCGTAAAATCACAATGGACCAATCCCTGATCTTTCACCCTAAAAGGAAACGCCCCCACAGACTAGTCTTACCTTCAACCTGTTGCGTTCTTCCAAACCCAACAGAACTTCATCATCCACAAAGACTATCCCACACTCAGCCCCAATCAGATCGCCCTCACACACACAGGACACGCAGCAACCTTCCAACTCTCTACCGTCCAACTCCATCAGTGGAGGTGATCAACATTCGACCCCGACAAGCTCTCACCTCCAGTCACTACATCCATAAAATACACACAGTCAACCTATCTTACCCAGTGTTGCGCATGCAGCAAAACCACAGGCGATCCAAAAACACGTTTGCAGAGAGAGAAGGGCCAAAGTCATCCTGAGGGAACTTTTTTATCAATTCATATGACCTAAATAGAGCAAATACATTTTACACCGCATCAGTTGTGTTGTGGGTTTATCTTTCAATGCTCTGGATTCAACATCTCTATATGTTATTAATCTACTCTCAGAAAGGGAACAGCATATACTGTAGATTCAAGAAGAGCACTCATGCAGATTTATACCAATTAAGAGCATGTTTATTAAGGATAAATCATTTACTTATGCCTCATGCTTTTCCAAATCCTGTATTATTTCATAGAAGACAAAAAGGAGAATGCTCATTGGTCTCTTCTATATTTATAGAAGCATTTGCTGAAATACAAAAAATAGTGTATTTGCTCTTTACTTCAACATTTCTGAAACTGCTTTTAAAACTCGTGTTATTATTTCTTCTGGGCTGGTTCACACAGAGCATCTTTGTTTGTGGTTAAAGATGAAGGTAAGTGGGTAAAAAGCAAAGGGTTCTTCTGTAAAATGTTACTGGGGTTAATATGCCTTTCTTGTTTTCAGTACAAATAACTAATAATTATTTATTCGAGAAGCATTTTCTAGACAAGTAAAAAAAAATTTGTCTTGCTTTAAGAAATTATATGCTAAAATTAAGTAAGTTTTTCCTTAAAGCAAGCATAATAATCTGATGTCATAACCAAAAACAAGATTATTTAGCTTGTTTTGAGAAAAAACTCACTTTAATTTGGTATATTATTTCTTGATACAAGACAATATGTTTTGCTAGTCTAGAAAATGCTTCTCGTTTTAAGAAATTTTAGATATTCGGACTAGAAACAAGACAAAAATTAAGTAAGAAAAGCATGTTTGCAGTGTGCATTTGTCCACAACCTTGGGGAAAATGGTCAAAAATGTCAGTTCATGTGCTGTATGCAAGCTTGCACTCCAGACTGTTGTGATCTTTTGTAGCTGATGCCTGGTATTTTCTGAAGCATGAGGATGATGAGTTCAAATAAACATGCTTTATTGTTCTACTGATGAAAAAAGTCACCATCTTGGATTGCCTGAGGGTGAGTATATTTACAACAAATTCTCGTTTTTGGCCAAACTATTCCTTTAACTTGAGCTATTGTGTCATGCACACAATGCTGAAAAAGCATCATGCATATTTTACATAGAAACAAATTGTAAAGGAAACAATTGTTGGAAATGGTGCCTAAGAATGTTTTTCAGCCAAAGACACATCTTTAACATAATGAAAAATATATTATGTGTGAGAGATACTGTAGCAGTAACAAATGCCTGATTATCTATTGGTATGGAAAACTTTAAAAGGGCATTCCAGTATGTTTGTTGATAGTGTATTCATGTCTTAATTGTAGTATTATAATAGTGCTGATTTTTTTTTATGCTCAGTGTGTTTCCAGTCGGTTTGTTGACTTATAATAAAATAAACCTTTTAAAAATTAAATGTAGGTATAGAAAAAGTTATTATGCAACGTTATGATGGTAAAACCGTAACCAAACTCACCACTAGATGGAGGTAGCATTCATTCTTTTAACCTACTTTTTTTAGTTCTCAAGATGTTGTTATTCTTCTATCATAAACATCCTAAAACCACCATCGTAGATACTTTTTATTAAATGTAATACAAAATCTTCAATAAATTGATCCTTTAGACTAAAAGCATTTAAATATTTGCACTCAGTTGTCCATTGCTGTTCTTATACATGTGAACTGTGTACAATTACATTAATATCCAAGCATGTTAATTTAGAAACTGCAAGCAAATCAAGACGTTCTTATCACTTTTATATCAACAAATAATCTCGAGAGCCTACTGGAAAATAAATACTTAAGTTAGTAAGGTATTATTTTGACAATTTTCCATAAAAAAGTCTTTTTTTTTATTTTGGAAGAAATGTTATGGTAAATAATATTGGCCCCTTTATAAAATATTTTTACAATGTAAAAAATGTTGGGTTCCACACAATTACTTCATGTTGTCCCAACACAAATTGAATAAGTTAACTTAATAATTTTTTTTTTTTTACAAATTTAAGTAGATTGAACAGAAAACAATTGTGTTATCTCAAAAAACACAAAAGAACTCATTTTAAAGAAGTCATTTAAATGAGCAGCAAAAGTTATTTTTTGAGTGCAATTGATTGGATATAGAGCAAACAACTATTCCAATAACCAATATAAGCAACCACTTACCAACAACCAATTCTGAATGAACCCAGTTAGACCTTTAAATTTCATTTTAAGCTGAATACTAGTATCTTGCAAAATAGCTAGTAAAATATCATGTACTGTCAACATGGCATAGACAAAGTTAATTTGTTATTAGAAATGAATTAATAAAACTATCATGTTGAGAAATATGTTAATATACTCAGTTAAACAGAACTTGGAACATATTATTAAAAGAATAAAAATTTAACTGGAGGACCAATAAAAAAAAGATAGAATGTGGTAGAAAAACATCATTCACTCTCTTACTCTCTCTTTCTCTCTCTCACACACACGTTAGGCATCTGTGAACTCTGGTTAACCGACAGAGGCACAACTCATTTTCACCAGCAACCAAAGCCATAAATCATGGTAGTGTACAGTAGATTACATCATACACATGTTCTGCGTTCAGGCAATATGCTTAGGTCTATAGAAGTGATACACTATAAATCTTTTATTTACCTCAAGTATTTCTATTGTATTATTCATATGCGTATACTATGATTTTTTTCACAGCTCTCTGGAATACCTGATTGGTAAATCAAGTCAGCTAGTTCTTTGTTTGGTTTGGGATTGTTTCTCAGTCAAGTTGTGCATTTGGCAGGCTAATAAAATATGAAAATTCATTATTTCTTTCAGTGATTTATGGTCACCTGTGAATTGACTATGATAGTTGACATTTCATGAAACCAAAAATATTCTCATATACAGTAAAATACTAATACTAGTACTTATTTTGTCCAGATGCTGCATCTATTACTAGATACTAGTACGTAATGAAGTAAATACAGTTGAAGTCAGAATTATTTGCCTCCCTTTGATTTTTTTCTTTTTTAAATATTTCCCAAATGATGTTTAAATAGCAAGACATTTTTCACAGTATGTCTGATAATATTTTTTTTCTGGAGAAAGTCTTATTTGTTTTATTTTGGCTAGAATAAAAGAAGTTTTAATTTTTTATGAACCATTTTAAGGTCAAAATTATTAGCCCTTTTAAGCTAAATTTTTTTCCGATAGTCTACAGAACAAACCATCATTATACTATATCATATAACTTGACTATTTACCCTAACCTGCCTAGTTAACCTAATTAACCCAGTGAAGCCTTTAAATGTCACTTTAAGCTGTATAGAATTGTCTTGAAAAATATAGAGTAAAATATTATTAACTGTCAGCATGGTAAAGATAAAAGAAATCAGTTATTAGAAATGAGTTACTAATATTATGTTTAGAAATGTGTTGAAAAAAATCTTCAATCTGTTAAACAGAAATTGGTGGAAAAAATAAACAGGAGGGCTAATAATTCTGACTTCAACTTTATATATATATAGATAATAAATATAGGTAATATATACACAGTAGATATATAAGTAGTAAAATAAACATTGTATAGTTTACAGTTCATGCATTGTATGCAGCCTACAAATAAAAGGCTATTATTTGACATTAATAACCTCACTTCAATCCTCATATGATTACCATCTTCAATGGTACTAAAGTTTAACTCAATTTCTGTTTCCCTATTTTTACAGGAATAATCTGTAAATATTAATGTAAAATTACACGTTACTCTTTGAAAATAAAGAAAAAACTACAAGCACTAACTGTAAATTTAATGCTAGGATTTTTATTACAGAAAATATCTGTAAAACAGGTACACTATTTCACTGTATAAGGAAAAAAATGGAAAATTCTGTAAAAAAAAAAATACAGACAATTACCTGTAAAATAGCGTTTATTTATTACAGTGTACTTGTATATTTTAGAGAATAAATATTAATAAAGTAATCATCTATAAAGTAAGAGAGAGAGATGTACTGTAAGATTAAGCCTTGTATTACACATTTAGTTTCTTATACAAGCTAATCTTGACAAGTGAATACAGAGGCAAAAAAAAAGGAGACATGTATGTACACATTTTTCAACACCGCTAGAATGTTGTCTCGCTTTTCTAAATGAAATTCAGACCATCAGCGCTGTGGTGATTGATTGATAATCCAAGCAATCAGCAAATGTCATCTCTCAACTTCAGCTTTTCCTTCTTGACTAAGATTCTTGATGGTCTTTTATGAGGATTTGACTGCGTTTCTTTGGAAGCTATGCATGAAGAAGAATAAAGACGCTGGAATTCCAGGTCGGTGACCCATTGAGCTGTTAACTAAATGGGATGATGAAACTAGGAGAGAGAGAGAGAGACATGTAGCTGGGGGCAGTGAGTTTAGGTGTAACAGATAGAAGCACAACACTTTAAAATAACATCTTATGCCTCTTACACTATGTACTACATGCCCAGGAGGGAGGAAAACTACTACTTGACAAGTATATGTGCAGGATATTAGCAGTGCATTTTTAACATTGCTTCTCCCATGTTAACTTGCATTGTCAATCTTTATTTAAATAGTTTTGTCTATTTATGTTTATTAAATAGCATGAAAAATGAAATAATAGTTTAGAAAGTGAGAAAGTTTGCTAAAAATAACTCCTAGTCATGCAGTTCTGTAATAACAAAACAACATAGACTCATTCTGAAAACGTACATTTCTGTAGATCATGAATTATGAAGCCCAAGTTATGTATGGCTGCATTTCATCTTTAAAACCAACACTACGGGGTGGTTTGATGCCTTTCCATTTTGTGCTATCAGCTGATCGCTTACCTTTATGTGGAAGGCTTTCCTGTTGTTCCCAGTTTGTCCAGTTAGCTCACCGTGTACATCGGCAGACTTGAGACACAGATAGGATTTGACTGCAATGACATGGTTTGAGTCTGGCGAAGAATGGTTCCAGAAAGCAGGTCAAAAACAAAAGCCAAAAAATAAATTAAACAAGTAAATAACAGGGTGAGAATGTGGTAAAACCTAAAAACGTGATAAAAATCAGGGGGCTTTTCTTTTTCTGGATTGCTTTTGAAAAAACGGCCAGTTGGGGTGGGGGGTCAATCAGTGCAAAAACAATAGGGTATATGCCGAAGCATGCTAATAGGACTTTTAATTTGCAAGTAACCTGGGTTAATCGTTTCCGGCGAACTGTATGCTATTGCAAAATCGGCGCGTTTAAGGTCTGTTTTCTTTAAAAATCAGCGATCTCCACTAACTGAGCACTGCACTGAAGCACTGCAGTAAATTACATTTTCCCTGCCATGTCTTTATAATATGAGCATTTATTTTACCCCAGTATATTCAATGGAGCTTCTGCGCTAACCTGCCGATTCTGACGGGTGCGTGCGAGTAAACGGCTTTTTGTCTCGTTATACGCTTGAGCAACTAAATGGATGCCAAAGTCTGTTTAACTGATTGTATTTGAATTACATTACAACATCAATACTTTAAAAGGAACCATATAAAATGAAAAAAAAATCACGATAACAGGTCACCGGAAGTGTATCAGCATGGGAAACACATTAGCTTGGCATATACCCCATTTGGTGCTCTCCAGAAATGTATATAGGGGTAGGCTTTCAAAATGACCATGGGTTGCAACCAAAACAATATTAATACAAATATAAATAATAATATTAATTTGATGTTTTTTATTTGATACAATTACCTATATACACTATATATATTTTCTTCTAAACAACTTTAATAATAAAATTAGAATATATTTTATCCAATTATATATATTTATTACATACAATTTTTAATATAGTTGAGGTCGGAATTATTAGCCCCCCTTTGAAATTCTTTTTCGTTTTAAATATTTCCGAAATGATGTTTAACAGAGCCAAATTTTCACAGTATGTCTAATAATATTTTTTCTTCTAGAGAAAGTCTTATGTGTTTTATTTCGGCTAGAATAAAAGCAGTTTTTAATTTTTTAAGAAATATTAAAAAGACAAAATTATTAGCCCCTTTAAGCTGTATATTTTTGAATAGCCATTATCATACAATGACTTGCCTAATTACCATAACCTGTTTAGTAAACCTAATTAAATTACTTAAGCCTTTAAATGTAAATTTAAGCTGTATAGAAGTGTCTTGAAAATATCTAGTTATGTATTTTTTACTGTCATCATGGCAAAAATAAAATAAATCAGTTATTAGAAATTAATTATTAAAACAATTAAGTTTAGAAATGTGTTGAAAAAAAATCTCTCCGTTTAACAGAAATTAGGGAAATAAATTTACAGAGGGGCTAAGAATTCGGACTTTAATTGTATGTATTGTGTTTTTTTGTTAGCTAAAAATTAGATAAAGGTTTTGGAGTTTATGGCTTGATATATATTTATTTTAC